AAAAAAAAAAAAAAAGTACCATACGTAGTTGTAAAACTAATAAATGTTCAGTAAAAGTTACCTCTTCTGTGTTGGCTGAAATTTTACTGCTTTTATATTTACTTATAGTATCAAATTGTACTTTAATGTTTAACTTCAAAAACAGATATTTTGTATGCCAGACCAATGAAAACAGCCAAATTCCTGTTTATAGTTATTAAGCAAGTTATCTATGTTCAGTTTAATGTTACTGATGCTGTTGATATTTTTAAATTCCTTAGTTGTCTTTCTTCAGCATGTCCCTTGTTACACAGTATTTTAATGAGTAAACTCTCTGAGAGACTAAATTTTCTATCAAAATTTAATACCTGTGTTGATTAGTAACTGATCAGTAAGTGAATTGCAGAAAGTGACTTCTATGTGTGAAACCATCTTTTTGGTTGCTTTATTTTAGAAGAAATGTAGTAGGAGCCTGTATTATAGTTAGAAATCAAATTGTTACCTCACTAAGTGTTGTAAGCACTGTGATCTAGATTTTGGTATAAATTCAGCAAGAGGCTGCCACGTGTTTATTAAAAGTAGTGTCGTGGCGTCCTTTGTCAGTGTGACATTTTAATATCACCCTTCTCTTATTTCAGAGTATCAGCATATTGTTATCAGCTAGTTTCTGTATGACGTAGCCGATTTTATCCTTTTCGAGTTTCTGATTCCTGAGGGAGAACTATAGTTACAGAACTAACTTTGTAGAGGTGAGCAGGAAGTCGGTGTTTATGACGCCGTTGTGAAGTGCAGCTCAGTGTTTAAGCCACCCGGCCTCTGCACAGAGAAGTGGGGTGAAGGCATTTAGTGTAGGGAAGCGGGGAAACATCTGTAGAAAGAAATGTAGGCCCAGGGAGGTGGCTCCGTGGAGTAAGCGCTTGCCTGGCAAGCACAAGGGCCTGAGTTCAGTCCCGGGTTCCACCAAAAAACAATGTGTGGAATCTGTAGCACAGAGTGGAGGGAGAGCAAAAGCAGCCTGTAAATGTCAGTGTGTCTTAACAGGAGCACATTTTAGAAGCCTGTAATACACGTACAGCCTGTATATAGTTAGAAATCAAATTGTTATCTCACAAAATGTTGTATTTGTGAGATAAATGTTAATTTTTAGATATTAGGAGTGAATGTTACTGTATTCTCTGAGAAAAATTATGATCGTCTTGGTAAACAGAAGACATCTGACAATCTATACTCATGATTTTTAGAAGTCCTAACACATGAGGAAAAGAGAAGTCATTCAACCTGAGAATCTGTAGAAATAATGGTTGCAAGCCTGGTGTCCCTGGGTGACATTGAAAGCTTTTCCCTTTAACTCCGCCAGGAGACCAGCATGGCCTGTGTCAGTTCCCACCTGCCTGGCTGACTAGATGTCACTAACCTTCATGTTCCACTCACTAGTGCTGTGCGTGCTTACCCTTCTGTAGATTGTAGTTTCTTCTCTTAAACTTTACCAGATGCCCATTCCTTTTCCTTTTTATCAGCTCCTTCAACTTTGTTTTAAAGCAAGCTGAGATAATTCATTGAAGTACAGTTCTGCTGTCCCTTGCTTGACTTGGGAAAAACCATTGCTTTACGTTACCCCTGGCTGCTTCATTGGTGGGGTAGATAATGATTGTTGCACTGGGCATGGGGGCACGTGTTTGTAATTCCAGCTGCTCTGGAGGCTGAGGCAGGAGGATTGTGAGTTTGGTGGCAGGCAGTGCAATTCAGTAAGACCTATCTCAATAAAATTTAAAACGAGGGGCCAGGGAGATGGCTCAGTAGAATAAGCGCTTGCCTGGCAAGCGTAAGGGCCTGAGTTCAATCCCCAGTTCTGAAAAAAAAAAAAAAAAACGAGACTGGGTTAAATGGCCAGTGTGGGGTGTTTGTCTAGTGTGTGTAAGGCCCTGAGTTCAGTACCCAGTACCAGATAAAAAATTTTGTTCTCTTAAGGTTTTTTAAGAATTCTGTTTTGAAAATCAATCGAGTAGCTATGAAAGAGCTTTGATAAACTTAAGAGCATTCTCCTAGTAGAGGGTACGGTGAAGGCCATCTGTAGGGCTGTGTTTTGTCCCCTGGTTTCAAAGTATTTTGCACACAATTTTTAATGACTTATCCCTTCAGCCTGATTGCTGTTTCTTTGTGTTCTTTCTGCCTTTGCACAGCAGTCCCTTTAAAGAACTCCTTCTCATCAGTTCTTCTCACTTTTCTAACCGGGGTTATTTGCTTTGTTTTGATTCCTTGATTCGTAGTGTAAGCACCTTTTCTCTAGATGGCGGGTGTCTAGCCCTGCCCCGCGCTCCCACTGACTTTGCCTGGGTGCTCTCGGTCTGCTTGGTGGCACATCCCGCTAGCTGTGAAGTGGACAGGAGGTGGTGTCTGGCGCCCCGTGGTCACCTGCCCGCTGCCTTGCAGGATCTGTGAGATCCAGGCGGTGGACTGCACGACCATCTCCTCCTTCACCGTGCGCGAGTGCGAGGGCTCCAGCAGGATGGGCTCGCGGCCGCGGCGCTACCTGTTCACGGGCCATACCAACGGCAGCATTCAGATGTGGGACCTGACCACGGCGATGGACATGGTCAGCAAGAGCGAGGACAAGGGTAGGTGCCCGCGGGTGGCCGCTGCTCCTGGGCCCTGCTGACCGGCCGGGGCGCTGAGCATCTGCCCTCCCCAGACGTAGGCGGCCCGACGGAGGAGGAGCTGCTCAAGCTGCTGGACCAGTGCGACCTGAGCGCCTCGCGCTGCGCCACCCCGAACATCAGCCCCGCCACCTCCGTGGTGCAGCACAGCCGCCTGCGGGAGTCCAGCTCCAGGTAGGGCGGGCTGCTGGGGAGCCGCAGGGGCTGCCCGGGGAGGGCTGCTGCTGTTTTCTCAGTTACATTTTCTGACTGTGTTTGTAATTCAGACTTTATCTTCATATGCAGTTTTTAAAAATTTTTTGAAACTTCTGTTTCTTTTCATAGAAAAGCTTTTCTTATCACAGTGCAGTTAGGGGTACTGGGATGGAAGGCAAGGCTTTGTATGCATGCGGGAAACTCTGTGCCACCGTGGAGCTGTGCTGCGAAGCCCACCTTGGCCTGTAACTTATTTTGTGAATGACTGCTAATCCGAATTCCTGATAATGTGACCAAGAGTTCACTGAAAAACATGAGGACAGTTGTGCTGCTGTGGAGTCTGTCTTGTGTCAGGACAGCTTTCATCAAAAGTGATGATACTTCAATACATTGAGATAATGTGCCTTTCTTTGACAAAAAAACTTCAAAAGAAATAAATTATATTGATTACTTACTTTATTTAAAGATATTTTGCCATGTTGGGCTTTTCAGCTATTGAACATGGACGTATGTATGGTGTTCTATGCATTGTTACGTTTATGCATGTATTATGCTACTTGTTAAGTAGGTTCTGTATAGGTAAATAAAAAAATATATAATGTACCTTGGTTGGCAGTTTAATCAATACTCCTAAGAGCCCAGAGTAAAGCCTGAACTGACTTTTTCTCCATCTCAGCCTGCAGCTGCAGCCCCGTGAGGCTGCCCAGGATGCGGCCACCTACAGCTCCGTGCGGCCTTACCGGGAGAGCCCGCTGCTGGCCCGGGCACGGAGGGCTGAGAGCTTCCACAGCTACCGGGACTTCCAGGCCGCCAGCTGCAGCCTGGGCCCCTTGCCAGCTGAAGGCAAGGGAGCAGCAGGAGAGGGGCCAGTGGCCGAGGGGAGGTCCCCTGGCACAGAGATGGGGCGCCCCAAAGAGGCGGACAGCAGCTCAGAAATGCAAAAAGCGGCTGAAGGGTGCTCAGAAGTCAGGAAACGGTCTTCTGAAGATGACAGTGACGCCAAAGTGGAAGTGAGGCGGAAGGGTGGGTCCGAGGCGGGTGGGCTGCTGGGAAGGCGGAGAGCCCCCCATCCGGCTCCAACCTCCTGCCCCAGCACCCCCGATGGTGGTGCCGACTCCCCCGGGACCCCATCACCCACCAGGACCACGCCATCCCCTCGGCATAGAAAGGGTGAGTCTCTAGGTCAGGAATACAGCTTGTGAGACTGAACCGGGCTGAGTGTTGGTTGTTAGATTTAGGTGAAAATTCAGTTCTCCTGATTTCAGTACGTTCCTTCTTACACTAAGACAATACAATTGGACTTCAGTTAGTATCTTTTTAACACAATTGCCTGGAATAAGAAGATCCAGAGATCATGTCTCTGTTGACATTTTGGCTTAGTCTTACAAGGATATTTAAGAGACCGTTTGTAGAACGGGGCTGCTGTTAACACTCGCTGCTGTCCACTGGCCTTTCTCCGGTCTTGGGGCTCAGTGGGTGGTGCTTATGCCCATGATCAAGGCTTACGCTCGGCCTGCAGTGCGGCCGCAGTGAATCTCATGGTTCTCCGAACTCGCGCTCCACCCCCATGATCGCAGTGTGTTTGCCAGGTATTTGATGAGGTGCTATGTTTGTGAAAAAATACGTAACTCCAAAACACTATTGGTAGTAAATGCCAGATCCCACTGTGTGGTAAGACTTTCAGGGTTGTTGTAGTTTGTGAGTCGTCTTCTGATTTTCACGGTTGGCAGTTCTAAGTCCTCGCATGAATCTCCAATATTCAGTGCCAGAAGTCCGTGTGCGCTTAGGTCAAGTTGCTGCAATTGTCCGTGTTTGAAGATGACATAAATAATAATAATTAGGGCAGGGTTTTGAGTACCCTACAGGAAAACTCTCTGAGTTGCTAATTTGCCTTGTTCAGGAGTTGCCGTGTTTTCTTTAATGTTAATGATCAAGATAATTAAATGTGACCATCTTATTACACTTAGGGATGTGTAATTGTGGATTTTTGGTTAAAGGCTTTTGCTGTTGTGGAAATGTTATTTTGAATGTATTTTGTACTGTCAGAGCAAAAGAAAGAATTTTTTGTACATTTTTTCATTTAATTAGAATGAATTTCAAGTTTCAGCCAAAAGAGTTAAGTAATAACTCTTAATTTAAATAATTAAGCATTTATTGCTGAATAATGTATATATTTCCATTCTAAATAATTTTAAGTGTGCGAAGTTGAAATAAATTCTTTAAAGTTTACTATAATATTGCTTGTAGCTTCACAAAGAAATTCTCTTGTATTTATTTATCAGCTTAATCAAATAAAATTATTAACACAATATGTCTGGCATTTGAGTAGTTTGAAATGGACTTACATCTGTGTGTGTTCATCCTTTTGCTTCCTGTAGTTAAAAAAAGAGGGAATGTAATGCCTGTAAGAGCCTCCCCAGTAAGGAAGACGTTAGGCCCCGTAGTTCCAGACCACTGAGATCGCAACAGGGTACTGCTTTTCTGTATCACAATTGTGTGAGATGTATTTACTGACGACAGAAGGCTATACAAAAAAGGCAAGGGCTGTTGCACGGTGAAATTCCACACCACGGAGACTAAGCTTGCACTATACTAAAGTGACCTGTTGGTTATTTCTGTCACAGAGAAGAGACTGAAGCTTGGCGTTACCCATGGCCTTGAGTCTCCCCTGGGAGTCTGACCTTGGGGCGATTATTCCCACTTACTCAGGGCTTTTCTACATACCTCCATCAGTACGTTTTTGGCTAGAAGAAAAAAATCACAATGCCATTATATACTTCGTATGATGATAGATAAGAAACAAAAACAATTATTCTCATGACAGAAAGTTTTTCAGCTTATTTTGCATTTAACCTCAAAGTACCATATATGAGAGCGATTGTACGGACATAGCGTCCTCATTTCCCGCAGGAGAGCACTGACCCCCCCGCAGGATGAACAGTGAGCCAGCACCCGGGCGGGCCCGCGCTCTGCACCCTGTTGGCCTGTTAGCACAGCCTGTGCTTTGGTTCCTGGCCTGCCTCCAGGCTCCTGTCCCGAGGCTCGGAGCTGGCAGCAGTGGCCCAGCCCCACTGCCACCCTGCCGCCGTTGGGACTCAGAGCTTGCTTGCACACAGCGCTGCGGCTCATTGGAAGGTGCCCACAGCAGCCTGCTTTCTTAGGTGGACACACCTTATCGTGTATGTGTTACTCTGATTGTCAATGTTTTTTCATAAATACATTAAACTTGTTTTATATTTGTTTATTAATCAAATCATCTTTAGATTGACTTACATGGTAATTGTGCATTGGAAATCAGTTGCTATTCATGACACAAGCTTTTCATTACAAATTCAATTATTTTTCAGTATCAGGTACTGTAACAGATTCATGCAGAAGTTCTCCATTTGGGGCCGGAGAGATGGCTCAATAGAATAAGTGCTTCCCTGGCAAGCGGAAGGGTCTGAGTTCAATCCCCGGTTCCGCCAAAAAAAAAAAAAAAATTTAGCTTAAATTATAATAGATCATCTCCAGAGATACAGTTCTTAGAAGACCTTATGGGAACATGCCTAGGCACCCTGCTAGCAAACAGTTAACAGAGTACACTTCATAAATTACGCAGAGACTGCTCTCTACAGATGTCATGACCAGTCGGGAGGTTTAGAGAGGGTTTCAGAGTTCCTGGAGACCTTACCGCTCTGTGAGGGAAAGGTGCCAGACCGAGGCAACTTCTTGGTAAAGCCCAGGTTCTCACCGGTAGGCGCGCCTGCAGGTTAAACACTGGAGGGCTTGTCCCACCCGGACCAATTGGAGCAGAATCTCTGGGGGTGGGTCTCTCTCTCTTGTGTCAGAGACCTGGTACACAGCACTGGTTAGAGTAGTAAGATAAAATGTTAGGTTTCTTCTCCAAAAAATGAGCATCTGGGTGGAAGCCATGTCCTGAGCCTTGGAGTCCGAACGTGATTCAGTTACCTGAATTCATAGTGACTTTGAAGTAGACCAATAAGCGGAGAATGACTTCAGATGACATCCCAGTTCCCTGTCCTTTATGTTCTTTTATTAAACTTTTATAATGTTTTTAAGTCTATACTGTGAAAAGGGCATGTGGCTTTTCAGAGAAGAGGGTGAGCTCTGTCTTGTGCCTCCACCTGTGACTGGCAGGTCATATTGGCAGACGTGTAGACCCCAGGTGAGGGTGCAGGCTGGGTCTGGCGAAGGCCACCTCCCCTGAGCTCTAGACGGCTCTCATGGGGCTGCCACTCAGCCAGGGTCGGGACTTATTTACACAACCCATTGACCAGTCAGCTAAAGGGGGTAAAAGCCAACAAGCCAGCCAATCCTGTTTCCATTACAGAGTAAAACTTGGCAAGAAAACAATCTAACCCGTGCAGCCACAACCAAATGTGACCATTACTTCCCATTTCTGTTTCTAGCAGTTGGCTGTCCCAGTGCTGGTCTCCTTTTGCCACTTGGGGTTGGCAGGCTTTGGAGATGGCCAGGGGGAGGAGCTGCTCTCCTACAGACTGGATGACATCTTAGCACCCCCCCCCCCAATTCCACAGGCTCTGACTGTTAGACCCTGGGGGTGATTGGTGGTTCAGGCCGGATCAGGAACATAGGTATCCCTTATTTTATAACATTTTCCCAGCTCTGCTTTGCAAAAATCCACCTGCCTCTGGAGATATATTCATGAAGTCCTGTCAGACCATAGTGTGTGAGATGTAAGTATTCAGATGAGTTTCCTGCAGTCATTAAAACCTTTAAGAATGAACAAAAGGGGTAATTTTCCAGGAAGAATAAATATGTTTAATTTTATGTTGATGACAACTTGTTTTTTTTTCCCTTGCTATGGAACTAATCCAAGCAGAGCAGCTAGAACACATTTCTAAACCATGAAGTAGGTGGCATAGTGTCCGTTCCTACCAATTCCAGGACTAACATGACAACTCCTGTGAAATGAAAAGTTCCAAATAATAGAGGTGTGTGTGTCTGCATGCTAACCCTTACACACATGTCGGTAGTTTTGCACTTACATGTAAACGTGTTAACAGTTGCAGAGCTGGAAGGAGCATCCATAATTTGCTTTTTTCTTTTTAAATTCTATGAAAGCTAATTAAATGTAGCAAGTAGCACAATAGTTTCAGTTTGAAGCATGCCAAGTTGAAAATGTTGCATTTTCTGCTATTTAGTGAATTGACAACTTTATCAAAATGCTGGAGTTTCAAAACTAAAATATGTGAAAAACACTGGCGCAAGTTTTCTCTTTAAAATGTTTACTTTGGTGCTTTACTCCTGTGGTTTCTCAGCAGTCCGTAGCTACAAGAACTGAAGCATTCGTGGGGAAGTGATGTGGTCCTTGTCAGAAGACTGGGTGTTTAGCTCTACCAGTGCCATTCAGATGGAACTGTAGCTGGGTACATATCCAAGATGTAGTGTTGGTTCTCTGCTCCAGCGTGGCCTGAGGTTGGGATTTCATCTGGCAGCTGTGACCACTGCGGTGGCTTTCTCTACAGTGGCTGCTGCTGCTGTCAGCAGCCAGATGGGTGCAGCAGCGCCCTCGTAGTACATTCCCTTGGTTTTGAAGCAGTAGCTTCTTGTAACAAGTGGAGCCATCTTGAAATCCTTACTGATTATTCATGTAACCAGTGCCTCACTGCCAGAGCCAAGTGATATCTCATGCTTTATCTTCCACAAAATAATCAGCAAAGCAAGTGTGTTCATATGGCCATCCTCCTTCCTTCATTTCACGCAACCAGAATAACACTTCCTAGATTTTAGCTAGAGAGAAACAATTTTAAAAATAAGTCATCTCTGAAGTGTTGTGGACCAGACAGTGGTCTTTCAGCCTCAGTGATGTGTCAGTGGTAACCCAGGGTCATGGCATGCAGAGCCCAGCATTGGGCTTCCAGTTGGGCATCTTTACAGGTGGGTGTCGGTGAATGTGGTGTGCTCCTTGGTCACTGAGCTGAAACCTTTGATCACATTCATCAGGTCCTCTTCATCCACATACTGAAAAACAAGCCAGGTACTATTGGTTACAATCGCTGACGGCAATCGATAGCTATCAATGTACTGTAAAATATACCTAGGATGTACTAAAGACTTAATACACAGGGTTCAATGCTGAGGTATAGTTTAAGGCATAGGCTTTTTTTTTTTTTTTTTTTTTTTTTTTTTTGTGGTACCGGGGATTGAATGCAGGACCCTGCGATTGCCAGGCAAGTGCTTATTCTATTGAGCTATCTCCCTGGCCCAATGCACAGCCTTTTCTTTAAATTTATTGATAGGATCACATCATATGTAGGCATGAACTAATCCAATCTATATGACAAGCATTGTTTTTCTCATCTATAACGTGGGAAGATGAAGTACAAGTATGAGTTTTTTTAAAAAAAGATTGAATTCAGAGTAAGCAGAAGAACCAAATACCAGCTGTTGTGTTCTGTTGGTTCCTGTTCACACTATATGGGTGAATGTGGGTCGGATCAGTAGTGTCAACATCTATGATGCACAGAACATTTGTCACATTGGCACCCTCAGAACTTCATTGAACACCTCTGCACACTGTCACCAGGATGTCAAAACCAAGCAAAAACAGCATCTTGGTGCCAGGATCATACACACAAGCTCTAGTCAGGGTCTCTAGGATTCCTACCTCACAAAGACAACTTCTCTGTGCTCTTGGGTAGGTCCCTAATCGCCCTGAGCTTCAGTCCTTCTTCAAGATGAGAATAATAGCAATGAGTGACCTTCCAGAGTTGATGAAGATTAAGAAATAATGCAGCTAAGCCTTCAGTGTATTACGTTGAGCATGTCAAAACTGCTATTTTGCATGTTAAACATAATCCATTAGTAATTATTCATGTCAACCTAATATAATTATCCCTGCCATTTAAAAACCTGAGATGTGAAATGGAATAATGGAATTGAATAGCTGTAACAAAAAGCAGAATCAGCTCTTCAGTGCAAGAAGAGCGAGAACTTGGGAGAGAAAGGTGAGGAGCCCAAGAGCAGATGCAGAGAGCTGAGAGAAGCGGAGCCGAGCAATTCCACCAAGAGGAACAGCGAGCCGCGGCTCAGCTGTCGCTTTGCTATCTAACTACACTGGAATGACGGGGTAGCAGGAGTCCAGGCAGGCCCCATAGTGGAGCATGATGCTAGGACTGTAGTCATCACAGCCTGTGCAGGTGCAGGTTGTCACAATTGCTGGGGGACAGGAGGCTGCCTTCACAGGGCCAACAGTTGGTACCACTGGACTGGACTTGTGCAAGAGGAGCCGCAGCCAGGAGATCCCCAGGCTGGCAGAAGATGGGAACAGCGAACAGCAACCCTGCTACACCTTGATTCCAGCCAGCAGAACCCACTTGGGGCTTCTGCCTTTCAGAATGGTGAGATAATCCGTTTATGTGTTTTAGCCAAGATTTTGTGGTAACTTGTTACAGCTTGGTTCGTTTGTTGGTGTTTGTTGAATCCGGAGCCTTCGAGTGCTAGGCTCTACCACTGACCCCTGCTTTTACTTTTTAAATGTTTTTTAGTTTTAGTACAGGGAATTGAATTTGGGACCTTGAGCTTGCTAGCCAGGCGCCCTGCTGCTGAGCTATATCCTCAGTACCTGCTGGGTTTTTTCCCTCTCTTTTTTCTTTTTTCTTTTCTCTTCTCCTTTCCCTTCTCTTCTTTCTTTCTCTCCTCTCCTCTCTCCTGTCCTTTCCTCTCCTGTCCTCTCCTCTCCCCTCCCCTGTCCTCTCCTCTCCCCTCCCACCTGCCTTCTCCTCTCCCCTCCCCTCTCCTGTCCTCTCCTCTCCCCTCCCCTCCCCTTTCTTTTTCCTTCTCTTTCCTTTTCCCTTTTCCTTCGCTTCCCTTCCCTTCCCTTTTCTTTCTCCCCTGCCCCCTTTATTGTCTTTATGAGACATTTCACTATGCACTTCCGGCTGGCCTTGATCTCAGGGTGATCCTCCCTCCTCACGGGCCCTGCTTTTAAACACTAAATGGAAAAGGCTGCTGATGGAAGAATTGGGCCTATTTGAGGATTCACTCTCATTCTGTGAGGTGACAATCAGTGGAGAAAAAAACTAATAAACCTCCCAAATTTGAGTCAGGCTGTGTGTAGATGAAGCCATACCCTCCCAGCAACCACAGTATTCTCTGAACTAGTACTGGGCTGATCTTCAACCTTAAGATACAAGGTTGAAGACTGGCAACCAATTAAAAGTAGGAAGACTACAGAACATTAGCCAGGTGGAAAGAAGATCTTGTTAAAGTTCAGTATAGTTCATATTTTATTGCCCAAGTGACCCCAAACCTGGTTGGCATTTATTTGCTGAGAAAGATGACAGGCATTGGTTTCCTGCTTTTTAAAATAGTGTTAATCTTGTTTTAGCCTGGAGGCATAGAACCGTGCAGCATACTACATGGTTTTGCAGCACTAATGTTTCACGCACGCCTCATGGGAAGTTGAGTTCAGTCTCCCAGACTGGAATAGGGTTCTTAGCACCCCTTACATCCTCACTGAAATTTTCCCGTATATGTTTAGCACAAGTCTATTTTTTATTACAGATCCTAAGAAAAACTACACAAAATATTGTGATTCAAATAAAACCATTTTTATTTTATTTTTATTTGGTACAGGATTTTGCTACAAAGCTTGTATGCTTAATGATCCTCCTGTCTCAGCCTGCCCAGTGCTGGGATTACAGGCGTGTGCCACCAAGGCTGGTTTTGGGGCTGGCACAGCATGCAGAACCGGGCCTTGAGCCTGAGTCCTTGCGCTTGCCAGGCAGGCATTTAGACTGCGGAGCTATCTCCCCAGCCCAAATAAAACCATTTTTGAAACAACAACAAAATGAAGATCAGACACTAGTATT